GGCCTGGGGCTAAAGAGCTGTTGCCCCCACCCCTCGAATGGTATGACTGTTGTGGGTTTTAAATTATGCATTGTTATGCTTTGGTTTTTTAATTTTTTGTCTGTATCCCCCTTCCCTGGTTTGAGTTGTGAGCCGCCCTGAGTCCCCTTCGGGGGGAAAGGGCGGCATATAAATATAAGAAACTGAACTGAAACTGAACTGAACTGTGGCAAGAAAGATGATAAAAGTGAGGCAAAACTCACTGAACACCAAATATGTTGGGTTAAATTGTGGTCATAAGTCTGAGGAGTACCTGTACTTATAAAAGTAATATCTCTTTTGAGTTGAGTAGCTTGAAATCTAAGTCAAGAATTAAATGATAATTCATTAACAAGCCCTATTCAAAATGGAATTTTAATATGGAATTAAAAAAACTGGAGTTCTTTGCCATGAATTTTAGATGTATGAATAGGTGCATTTTTGATTTTCAAAACCATTTGATACTTGTGAGTTATGTGTGAATAAAACTACCGCAACCAATCTTCCTTCAATGGGCTAAAGATGGAGCAAGCTCTTGTGACAAATACAGTCAAATCACTACTTGGTCTCTGCCTATTCTTTTCAATGCTTTATTCATAAGCAACATTTATGCCATGCCATATCACAACGTGTTCCTTGAGTGGTTTATTACACATATATAAACGATGGTATTTTGCTTGGTTATGAAGCATCCCAATGATAATTCTCTCTAGAAAATGGGGACCTAGAACTGATCACAACCTACAGACAAAGGTTGCTAGGAATATTAAGAGAAGTGAACCATGAATGGGCATAACTCATCAATACTGACCCTAATATAAATGGGAAATGTCATCTTTGCAGTTGGAAAAAAATATATGGGAGAAAAGCATCAATAATACATATCATGTCTTGCAGTGATGAAATGAAATAATTGCTGTATTTTGGCTTTACATGCTTTATTCATTAACGAGTGATGGAGTCAGTTAAAATTTATCTACCACTTCCTCCATTACATATATGTTTCATTGTGAGTGGTTATTGACCCCAATTACTTCATATGAGACTATACTATTCAATCACAGACTATTCTAATGGAAAATAAAAGCTTGGTTTAAAACAAAACAACCCCTTTCTAATGATGCCATATTTTATCGTATTTTCCATTTGTATGATTTTCTTGATGCCTGTGGGTTCTCATACTTGAGTAATAGTTAATTTTTTCTGACAATGGACCACACAATACAGGGGAGAATAGAAAACATTGTCTTGCAATCAAACTTTACTACCATGCATTGGGTGTGATTCCATTTTTTACTTCTGTAATTAGGATATCATGCTAGGTTGCCACTGCTGAAGGCCCTTCAATCTTTTAAGAAATATGTGGCTGTTTTACTTACTTCCTCTTTTTAATTATCCTGATCTGAAAAAAAACTGTTCTGATAGTCCTTGACTTATGACCACAACTGAACCTAAAATTTCTGTTGCTAAGTAAATTCTGTCCCATGTTATGACCTTTCTTGCCAGAATTGTTAAGTGAATCATTGCAGTTGTTAAGTTAATAACATGGCTGTTAAGTGAATATGGCTTTCCCATTGACCCAAAAGTGCGTTTTCAAGGCAACTGGACTTCTGTGTTTTTTCTTATCCAAGAAGCTTCTTCAGTTCTCACTGGATGATGGGGAATGGAAGGATTTCTATTCCTTGCAGAAAGCTGGTCATTTGCATTTTCTATTGGCTTTGCTTATCAGAAGGTTACCAGTGACCTTGGGACACTGCAATCGCCATAAATATGAGTCAGTTGCCAAGTATCTGATCATTTGATCATGTGACCACGGGTATGCTGCCACGGTTGTAAGTGAGAAAAATAATCATGTCATTTTTTTCAGTGCCGTTGTAACTTTGAACAGTCACTAAATGAACCTATGTAAATTGAGGACTATCTGTACAACTATCTAAGCAAATTTAAAGAGTGGTTGAGTGTGAAAGGAACAAGGACTTGAGAAGAAATACATTCTTTCACAATCCTGTGACAATACATTTGAAGGCTAATATGAGAGGATTTTAAAAAAAAAATTATTATAGTCGATTGGAACCAATTTTAAAATTTACCTATCTGCTTCAGGATCTAGAATGACAGCTAGTTCAGTAAGCACCAGTCCTGCCAAATAATGCTGTTGACGAAAAGGAACGGAAAACTCAAACATATTTGCGATCTTCTGATCCTGGACATTTGTTGAGAAGCCAGAACTCTGTAACACAAAAACACAACTTCTCGTAGGTTTTTTAATATGTATTAGTCCTAGTGGCCTCCACAACTCATCCCATTATTTATTTATAGAATAAACTTCATAATAAGACAACAGCATGAAAGAAGAAAACAACAACAACAAAGAAATATGTTCAACCTTAGTTCGGCAAAAGAATTTATCTGCTTTTTTATTAGCTAAATATAACAATAATATATGTTTATTGCAAATTAAAAGGAATTCCTGATATATCTAGATGGAATGCAGGAATGGGGATCACATTATTAATATTATTGATGTGTATTATTCGGTTTCCATTTTTATGCATTTAGCATACTTGGGCATTCAAGTCACAAATTTTAGACATTAGATAGTTTAACAAAGATAACAATTCATGTTAAGACATGGTTTGCAATAACCATGTTGATAAGTTATAATAGGTATATTTATATATTGTCAAAATCAATGGAGTAACTGGTTTATATTTGCATTTATCACATCAAGTCAAAATCAATCAAGTAACAGTTTGGTTTAACCCAGCACAACTTATTTTTAAAAGTCTGCATTTAAAGGAGAACAGAGCTAAAGAAGAATCTAATTCTATATGAAATGTCCATTGGATTATTATTTGCCTTCTAACACTACACTATACTTTTGCTATATTACCCACCTGTGATGTTGCTGATGACACCGAAGGAGAAGGAGAGGCAGGCGGTGTTAGCAAACTACATGGTAAATTCAGAGTAACATAATGCTCATGGCTACAGACAATCCGAAGGAAATCCAGCCTCAAGGACACTAGCGTGCTGGGGATTGGTAAAGAATAAAGCTTGGAGGACACCTTGTGAAACAGGAAAAGCAAAGTTAAAAAGTGACAAGGAAGCTGAGTCCCTACAAAAGTAAATGTATCCATGTTCCTCTAGACTACAAAAATAGAGAACAAAGGACAGGCACATTAAATTTGTGATTCATAAAAAATGAACACGACATTGTTACTTTCAATTTGAGATTTAAATCATTTTGAAGCATTTCCATGCCGCTCAGTCTATATCAGGGGTGGGTTCCTGCCAGTTCTAACCTCTTCTATAGAAGAGGTTCCACTAATCTACAGTGCCATTTAGAACCGGTTCCAGCTCCCTCCCCCCGCCCGTCCACACATCATCAAGATGAAGAACGAGAGGAGGAATTCTGGGAGTTGAAGTCCATAAGTCTTAAAGCTGTCAAATTTGAACATCTCTGGGGTTTTTTTCTAAAGGGTTAGGGGTGCAAGGATCTTGTAACTTGATAGCTTTAAGACTTGTGGATTTCAACTCCCAGAATTCCTCCTCTCGTTCTTCATCTTGATGATGTGTGGA